TTTGTTAATATGCAGAATTATGTTTAAAGAACTTTATATTTTTAATATTTGTAAATATTGAACGATGTTTTTAGTTTTGATGCGAAACTAAGAAGGTATTAATTTTACCATAATGTGTTTATTTTTTTCCTTTGTGTCTATTACTACATTTCATCCGCTTTCACTAGATTGATTTTTCTCAACGATATATCAAAAGATCACAAATATATCTAATTGAAGAATACCTTTAAAAATTAAAATAATTTCCTTCGTTCCTTGAAATGGAGGAAATCGCCCAAAAATATAAACATTTTTAAAATCGGTAATTTCTACAGTTTTTTAAGAGTGTTTTTACTTAAATCTTTTGTGGCCTTTTTAAAAATGGATGAATCAAAACAAATTTTTTTTGTAAACAGTTTAGGTATTTCTTTTTTAATAGGTACATTCTGTTTTGTAAATTTGTCCGTTAACTCTAAAAAATTAACTTTTTTGAAATGTTCCGGAAATACTGCGACCTTATAACGTATGTTAAAGTAAAGCTTGTTTTACATACTATAAGTTAAAAAAAAAGTATTGTGTTCAATGACTTGGTTTTTTTTAGGTAGACGAATTTTTTTTAATAAAAAAATGTTATTTTTGTGTTTTTTAAAGCCAATGTAACAAATGAATTCTACATCATTATAAACAAAAATGTAATAAATTATTATAAGGGTCTAATAAAGAAACAATGGTAGCGTCACACAGTGGTCTGAAAGCGAATTTTAGGCGCTCATATGTCCCATTTTAAAATTTACTCACAATATTAATATAATTATGAAAATTCAATTCTAGTATATTGCATAGACAAAGTAAAAAATTTCAAGATCACACGTTAATCAGGTCGTTATTTATAGCTGCTTGAAGAATAAATATGGTTTTATTACGATTAACACAAAAAAGGTAGTTCGTTGTCAGCTGTTTTAACAAGTTAAAAAAATTTTTTTTCGAATTTTCTTTTGTATTTTATTAAAAGTAAAGATCAAAGATGTTAAAAAAAAAATTTTCGAACAAAAATTTTTTTTGACTAAGTAATGATCTTTTTAATAAAATAGAGTATATTTTGAGTCGTTTTGTTAATTAAAATGCACAATACTAAAAATTACCATATTTTGCCCAAGTATCGATACATAGATTTTGTAGAGTAATTATTCTAGATTTTAAAAATATAATTTTTTTTTGCGGTGAACAAAAATAACTGTGCATAAGGCTAATAGAATTATACTTATTCGTAAATTTTTTATTTACTAAATTTATTTATTAAATTAGCTTTCATTTATTTCAATTACTGAATTTGAATTGTTTAAGTTATTTATATTACCCTCGACTTTCGTTTTGGAATTGACGAATAAATTTTGCACATCAATAGAAAATTTATTTATACATTTTTTTAAAAAAAATTTTATTGATGATATGTATGGATCACTTGATACCAATAGCATATGCATTAAATCTTCATTAGTATTATATCTCAAAGTTTTTCTAGTATGGTGAAGTCTTATTTTTCTATAATCTTTGTTTCTGGCTTCCTGTGCTTCGTCCGAAAGTTGACCTAAAAATGTATTCAAATAAATTGTTACACCATTTAATTGATGTATAGGATAGTAATGAATATACATATATACCAATCGGAAGTATTGCGAATCGTTTTACGTCAGCTCTATGAATTAACACTTTGTGAACATTAGAAGGCATATAATTTAACACATCTGAGTAATGTTTAGGTTAAAAAAAAAAGAATTTACATGCTTCTAAATAAACTTAAAAAAGTATAATTACATCATGCAAAATATTAGAACCAAATCTTGCCCAAAAAATTGTGTAATATTACATTTTTTCTTTAAAAAAATGTCTTTAAAAAAATGTCTTTAATTAAATTTTCTTTTATCATAGTATCTGTTAATTGATATGTTAATGAAATACAAAAATATCGGTTTACTTTATAACTTGATATAATATCAAGAAAAGATATTTTTTATATATATTTATTGAGAAAAGAAAATTTCTTTTCTCAATTTACAAATTATACATTTTTGAAGTTCATAAATATTGACAAAGTTGTCATGACTTACTGATTACTTGAACATTACTTGTTTTATTCAATTTGTTTTCATTTGTGTAGTCTTTTGCCATACACATATTATTTTGTGTGTTTTTGGCCTTTTACGTCCTATTGAGGGCCATTGAAACCTCCACCAAACAGGAGGTTTATTAACCATTTATATTCCGGGGCGTGATTACAATTACTACAAGTAGTGAACTGATCTCTCACTCAGTCACGTGCGGCTACGTGATTGAGTCTTAAACCCGAGACCAAAATTAGGCATTGCCTAATTACGAACTCGGCCATACCATTCCTCATTAATTATTTTATAAAAAATAAATTGATCAATAATATTCTATGAATTTTATTTAACTTACAAGATCCTATTTTAATTAAATTATTTCGAATTAAATAATTTATAGTACAATCAAGATAAATTGTAATTTTTGAAAAACGGTTCCTAAAAATTTATATTATTCTGTGGTACTTTTTATATAACTTTTTTACATTAACTAATTCAAAATATAATGTTATTATAAAGTAACTATAGTTGGTGTCTACGAAATAAAACTGATTATTTGAGCTGTTTTAAAAAGGAATAGTTTATTAGAATTCAAGTTATTCTTTAAATAAACTTAATTTAAAAAAATTATTGAAAATTGTATAACATCTTACCAATAAACATTTAAGTTTCAGTATAAATACTCAATAATTTCCTTAGTTTATTATGGACCCAGTATATAAGTGTACTTGTTAACTCTCCGTTAGTCACGTGGGTGGCGATTGTATCCCATTATTTTTACCTATAATATAACTTATTCTTGATAAGCTCAATTTTAGATATTTTTCGATTTAATCAAGTCCTAGTTGAAAAAGTGATGGTTGTGTTGGGTTTGAGCCTATCATAAATCTTAATTGAACCTAAAAGCATTTTATTAATAAATATGTTGTTAGCCAGAAAGTTTGATTATATAGAAAATTTCTAATAGTGATATTTATTATCATATCCATCTTCCATCTTATGATGTAAAAAGCAACCTTTTTCATTTGACACCTTCATTGGCTTTAGTATAATCACTCTTCATAGTTTCAATTAAAATGTAAAAATATATTTATAAATATACTTTACAAAAAAAACCCAGCACAGGGGGGTCGCGGCACAGTTGTGACGTGGTACAGTTGGATCAAGTATAATGATATCTGACAGTGATTAAAATCACTATCAAAAATAAACGCTTCGATGCAAATCTTTAGATAGTGTTTAATTTTAAAAAAATTGGTGTTTTATTCCAAAAGCTACTTGATCTGCTGGTTCCTTA